ATGATTAACCTCGTCCAAGTAACATTTTAGCCTGGTGTCATTAAACACCAACATTTTTTTTCTGTATATCGAGACATTGAATCAATCGATACAGTAAACCAGCAAATATGCTGGCTATACTTGTAGTACGTGTCTCACCACGGATCATGCAGAACAGACATTGTATTCTGTGACCTGGAGAAAAGCCAGAGGCATGACTGACCTGAAATGAGCTCCTAGCCCATGATGGAGATCCACAATTCATCATATATATGTGAGTAATACGACAGGTGAACATGTCGGCCCGGCTGTGTCTGGAATAAAAGCGTGGGGGTGATTCGTATTACAGGTTGTGATGGCATGAGCAATCACTGAAATATTGCAAAAAAGAATGTAAAATCCACGTTCGATTGAGCGTCCGTGGCTACACACGGACACACTGGCAGACAGTAATTGACAAAATCCGGAGTTGTATAAAATAGAATTTTTTTTAAATCATTTCACCCCAACAATGGCGATTGGTATTGCATTTAAATTATTGAAGATTGTTAGTGGAAGGGAAGGAAGACATAAGAAGTGACTTTCACAGGCGAGAAGTGCGAGAAAAAAACTATTAGAATATGACATACGGTTGCATTTCTAGATCAAAAGTAAAAAGGTGAGACATAATTACCAATTTAGATTAATTTCATGCAGCCGCCTCATCAGAACAAATGCCATGAAAATATCTGTAGAAAGAGAAAGAGAAGTGTCATGTCATGTCAGTGGGAAAGTGAAAGAAGTCAAGATGCCAGGACAGGGTTAATTACATTACAGACTCTTCTTCGAACCCATCTTTAAATTTTGTCATGAATCTCGAGATGTAAAGTAGGAGCATCAGACCAAATATGGCAGCAATATTCGATGCACGGTCGAATGGTAGATTTATAAATGTGTAAGATGAATTCTGACGGGAAAAAATGGCACAACACAGTAAAGCAACTTTCCTGGCAGCAGACCTAGCAATGGATTCAGTATAATCCCTCGACTTCATCTCAGTGGAAAACGTGAGCCCAAGAAAGCGCAAAGCATTTCTTTCCTGGAAGTTAGCACCAGCCATACTCATGACAGGCAGGAAAGATGATTTATGGTGATTAAACGAAAGCAGTTTTATTTTGGAGGCGTTAAAATTTACAAGCCATTCATTGCTTCAGTTAACCACTGATTAGAAGTACTTTTTGAGTACAGTGCCACTTTTACTTTGTCAGATTTGCTACTAAAACACGAGAGTTTTTGTCACGTGTTTTCATTTAGTCATTATACTCATCCTTACACAGCCAATATTGCAACTGCAAAAGCAACGCATGCTTTAGTACAATACGATAAAATTATGTCATGTCTCTTATTGCTCAGTAACATTATCTTGACAACTGAAGATCTTAAAGAATGTTAAATACATTTCCTTGAAGGGCGACAAAAATATCTGTTCTAACTAATGCCATCAGCATGATGATCTAAGTGAATGATATCGATTAGTTTTAAATCAATTTCAAATATTTCCAATTGACACTGAGTAATTCTCAATACATGATATAAAGCTACGAAAAATCTCTTCGGAAATGTTTTTGTTGCGACTCACTTTATAACAAATATGAAATGTTTTAGAAAAGTAGACTAATTTGTTACAAATTTATTACTGTAATAACAAATTCAAATAATGACTGAACGCATGAACAATGGGTTTAGAAAATCACCTGTGGCCAATCGCTCTAAAGCATGCGTTCGAATAGATATTAATCGCTTTAAGCCAAGTGAGAAACAGGATTACCATTCATGTGTTGCACAAAAGTATTGAAGTCACTAGCTCGAAAATATGCTGAAGTCTGAAACAGTCACCCTTTCAAGATCAACAGGACTTCCAACAAAACAAATTCACGACAGCAGTAATGGCGCTTCTGTTGAGGCTCAAGCTCATTACCTGGATAGTTTCTCTTCCTCATCATGACTCTCCGGCATGTGTAGATGTCAATATTTTCTAAGATAAAGCCAATATAGAAAGGCATTCCAATGTGGCTTGTAAGCAATCTCCTTAAATTGGTTAAATAAAAGGAGTTCTGTGTTCAAAATAATGTATTTTGCTTTTGATAACAATAAAAAGATACGTTCTAAATAAATTGATCGTTACACGATGTGGCAAAGAATTGTAAAAGAATCGGGTTGATTTAATTCAATTATCAAAGATGAAGACGTAAATGATCATTCACTAATAATAATAATAATAATAATAATAATAATAATAAGAGCCCTGATGCTTTACCTGGCTTGGTTCACGTGGCTTAACTGATCGGAAGTGGTAACATTTACATGTTTTGTCTTAGTGAATTAAATTGGGCTACAGTAAGTATCCCGTTCTGTTCCACAAATATAGTTGCTAATTGAATGAAGATAACCAGTTGATAATGTCCTCTAGCAACGTACGTGCTCTTAATCTCTGTTCATGAGCGAGATTAGTGGGAGCAAATAATATTTGGGTGCATGTGAGAGATCATCGGTCCCTACAACTTCCCATCGTTCATAGTTCTTAGCAATGTTTTTCATTCTACTATCCCTACTACGCCTGTTCTTTCAACACAAGCTTTTTAGGTAGGTTACTCGCCGTTACTCTCTTTCCTTCAATATGCCAAATACCCTTGGTATAATTATGAATTCATCTCTTTTCCTCAGTTATGGATTAAATAGTAGGATTTGTATATGTAAAAAAAATTGTTAATTCATTATACACACCTAAAAATGTTTTGCCTTTAAATAATTCAAACAATCAATCAATCAATCAATCGATACTGTCTTTTTCTTATAAGCGTCTTTTTTTTTCCATTTTCCTCAAAAGATCCTTATTGCTCACATGTTCCGTCCATAAAACATTGTTTAGAACTTTCTCTTTGCTTCTAATGAAAGGATTTTAAGAAGTGGCGAAAGGTTTAATTCTATTTACGTTAATATTATTATTTTGTCATTCTCTCCTCCAGAAAAAATATTTTGTCAGTCGTTTGTAATAACTTCTCAAATTATCCTATACTAGCCTAACGTTTTGACTACAATCGAAACGAATAGTGGGTATGATTTGTTTACATTCATCATGTTTTCAACTCACAGTTGACTAAGGTGTGGTCAAGATCAAACGATACATGTCAATTAAAGCACGCGCTCCAGCAGGCGAAACACCATGACATGCAGCAATAAACGACATCATCAGAAGAGGAGTGGATGCAGCTGGGTCGAACCCATTGGCCGGGAAAATGGAAAATAGCCGGATGGAGTTACCATTTTCCCTTTTAAAGGGAAAAGTAAAGTTATAGATTCGGGAGGCAACCTGTGCCGATACATTTTCGACCGGTAATTTGATAAGGTCTGCGGTTGAGCCCGTTGGTCTATCGCACGGGACGCCGAGATGAAAAATGATTAAATATTCTTCTCTTGCGAACAGATTTATTTTTACTTCAGTGGTAGTGGAGACTTCTGGGGTTATTAACCCTCGTTCGATTGCTTTCGGAGGGAGATTGTCGAGATTGCGTCTCGATTAAGGGACGAGCCTCGCGAAACGGAGTGACTCTTGCATCGTGTCTCACTGACGATGGTGCGAGGTAATGCTTTCCCCATCATTGCGGCTGGCTGAGGATAGAAAAAAAAGTTTTTTCTTGAATATATGCGATTTCCCTTAATATTTAAAACATCTTGAAGTAATATTACAAAGAGCCGAAGCGAAATTTACTCTGAAATGTTCAAGAACAGTGTTAACAGATTGTTAGGCAATCAACCTATTAAGTTTTCTGCTCGAGTAGTTCTTTCTTATTTAAATATTTTTAAATGTAGTTGACGAAGATAACATTAAAATAAGTTTAGAAATTTATGTAAAAAAAGGCAAGCTATAGAATCTGATGGAATATTTATCTTAGTTCGAAATCTAACCTCTCTAAACGGAATAAACTAATTAGTCATATCAAGCAATCTCTTTGAAAATAGCATAGTATTTAATAAATCAAATAAGTGGTATTGTAAATAAATGTAGTATATTGCATAGAAAAAATACTATAAAAGTTGTACCTGACACACTGAGGTTTATCAAGCGATTCACATTGGATCATTGCATTAAATATTGACTTTGTTCAAAAAGTATTCAAGGCCCTTTATTCAATGCGATCGGTCAATACTGGATGTTACAGCAATGTAAACACGTGCGAGACTAAATTATTCTATTTATTAGCATATAAGACATTTATTTCTTCCAACTTTATCTTCCAGGTTTTATAAACAAATGTATCTATCTGGTTGTCTAATTTTTATCAGTAATAATCTACTGTAATACGAAAGGCAAATGCTGTATGTGGTGGTGGGGTGTTCTTGTACAACATCAAATACCCAATGGGTGCTTTTTCTACAGTGCAATACTATTGAAACATTAGGTTAGAATAATAACCTGTAGAAAATACCCAAATACCATTATTGTACAGTGAGAACGACCCTCACTGGGTAACCTGGTACTGTGTATGCAAATTGCCATTTGTATTTATATGCTATAATATTTATAATATTACGAGGGAAAGTAAAAAAAAAAAAAAAAAAAAAAAACATATCCGCACTCTTGTCTATAGATATGGCGAAAGTGGGGATCATTTTTTACTTATCCTCGTATCGGCCTTGTGCCACATCTAAGCCGGGCTTAGAAAATCGCTTTACTTATCCTCGTAGTAATGCAGCAACAATAATTTAGTGAATTAATTTTTGTCAGTATGCGCCACTTCTTTATTTCATCATGGGTTCCTCTCTGAGATAATGGCAGATCGATCCCCAAATGTACATCACTGTTTCATCAAATAATTTCTAGTCGCACTACAGATAGGAGCACAATTTTTATTTTAGTATTTCTTCATCTTGAAAGTCATTCTTTTGTATTTTTACTTTTATCTTTTAATTTTCTTTATTTCTTCTTTCGCCTCCCTTTCTTCTGCTCTTGGATTTGATCTTCTTTTACTTACAACAAATTTTACGGTCATATCACGTTGAAACATAGGTTCTCGTAAGATCACCCAAGTTAAGCAACGTCGAGCCTGCTTAGTTCCCTAGATGGGTGACCGCTTGGGAATATCGGGTGCTATAAGCGTAAATGTGCGGATGGTGTAATTGATAATGCTTGGAATTGGAAATCGGAGAGCCGAGTTCCAATCCCAGTCGATTTCCTTATTTATGCAAATCCCCTTGAGAAAGGTATGAATCCACATCTTCTCCCCTAGCTATGGATTAATTAGCAGAAATATTTTTCCAGTAAATCATCATCATCTCCAAAAATAATTCTTACAATCTAAAAGTATTTTCTGGCTTTAAATAACATACAAAGAGTTGATAAACCTTAAAAAAACAATTCCATCAATCAATTTACCTACATCCGTTATAGTTTCTGTTTATCTTCCTTCCTCTTCTCTCTACTGCTATTTATTTCACTTATTTCTTCTATTTCCCTTTCTTTCAAATATTTTCAATTTCTTGTTCATACTTTATTACCTCTCACTTTCTTTTCTACTCCTTCATTCCCTTTTTCTTTTCTACTCCCTCATTACCTTTCGTTTCCCGACCTTCCTTCTTCTCTGCCGTCGACATTTTTCTTTCTCTTATCATTGTCTCGATACAGCCTTAACTTCGCTCCTTTTTTCCTCCACTTCTTCTCACCCCTTCACGTTACTTTTTCCTGCATCTCACCCTCTCCACATCTTGAGTGAATCTATTTATTTCTTGGTCTTCTTTCTACGACGGAGAAAAGGTCGACCAAAAGCAGGAACTTCGCTCCAAATTGTTCCTCGAAAACTAATTTCCGGTTCTCAGATTACATTCAGTCGTCACATCCGATGGAATCGGCAGCATTCAGGGGAGGTAATCGATGCGCCGTGGCCTTTTCGCGCCAAAGCGCTGACAAAACGTTGAAAAAGGCATTGGCTAACAGGCATAGACTTGAATTGTCGTGTTCAAAATTGCAGGGTTATTGTTAGGTTAAAAAGACAATGAAACCAACGGATTGGCTCATTGAAAGTAAACAAATGTATGGGGCACATCGATACCCTTAGCAGGAGGCAGGACACTTCTTGAAGGGATATATTAACAATAATTCTGTCAGCAGATGCTAACGGGGGTGATCTCTATTTACAATGGTGGGTAATAAATTTGCCTTATAAGTAATTTCGTGAAATCGTGCTTTAAACGGCAAGGCATTTGAAAGTAAGACAAAATTCTCTTTTTGCAATTTATGAACAAATGGAACAATTTCAATTCTAGCCGACTAAGCTATACACATTATTCCGATGTTGCTTGTCTGTATTTGGCGTACTTGTAAAATCTGTAGATATATTAGTAAATGGTTACTAAGAAGGTTTTCCGTTTTTTCTTTTTTATGTTCTTTAAAACACGCCGATAGGACTCGGGGAAGATTAAGAAATCCTCATGGCCTGTTTTCATATTTGGAGTAAGGTACATTAATATTCAGTTTTGATTGGGTAGAATAATTATAGATTAGAGTGAGGATGTAATCACAGAGCGCCCATTCAACTATATTTTACTGTATTATACTCTCAAGAAACGCACGTCCTATATATTGTGTTTTAAACTAAATTTTACACAATACAAGGCTCGAGAGATACTCAAGGTAGAATGTAGAAGGTTACTGTTAAAATGATAATGATGAGGAGTGAATGATAGGAATAAAATAGGAAGCGGTATGAAATGCAGATTACGAGGATAGATGAGAATTAATGCTAGACTTGAAGATGTTAAGATATTCAAGGAAGCATCCACAAAATAACAGTTCTTGGGGAAAAAAAGCAGTCAAGTGGAACTATCTGCTTAGCTTTGAAATCCGAAAGAAATGAGGGTGATCCAACTGCGTGGAAGCGGCATGGCATAGCCCAATTGTAAATATCTTGAATTAGTGGAATTTAAGAATGGAGTTTCATTTAAACACTTGCTCTTGAAACAGCGATAAGGTAGCGATAGATTTGCAACATTGCGTTTGCGGGAATTTGTGTGAACGGAATGAACGAAGGTTGATTAATAAATATCCTACTACATAACGTCGCTAATATAAGGGATATAAACAGATATTTGAATATGTATTCGAGTGATTATGAAGTCTCACGTACTTCAAGTCATTTTGCTGTGTAACTGTATTGAGTAACAGCGTTTGTTTACCATGAGCGTTACGTTCGATTTACGTATAAAGCAGCGATGAATGATAGAATTTTGACACTAAACAGACCGTGCACGGGAAAACAATTTATGCCAACGATTGGGTGAATATGAAAGATGTTAGTCAGTGTGTTCGAGTTACCTAAACGTGCATTAAATATGTTTGAGAAGCAAAAACGACAACAACCGATTTCCGCTTAACATTTGTTTGCCAGTGGTGTAGCGGCGCAGGATGAGAAATTGAAGAGCCAAGTTCGAATTTCAGTCGCTTCCATTGCATTCACTTACGCGCAAATATGCTTGGCAAGGCTATGAATCAATTTCTTTTCCCTTCAGCGATAGTAGGACTTGTAACTTTAAAATTCATTGTTATCACCTAACATTTATCCAAAAATATATGTCTTTAACTAATCTATAAAGGGCGGATAATCTGTAAAATAGACATCATTCAATCAATGATGAACGTTTGTTTCACACTCGTTTTACTAATACACTGAATTCTTAACTGAAATATCCACTGTATAATGTCCAGTCTATGTGGTTAATATTCTCCACTGAATTAAGTGCATTGACAAGGAAGTTAAATTTCAAAATATCTTCATTAATAGGATACAGAGTTACTGATGTACCTACGCGTGTCTATATCGTTATAATCTGAAAACGTTAAAAATTATGCATAGTTAAGTTTGATAAAAGGACAAAGTTAAAAAGCACCGAGTAAGAACCATTATATTGTGAAAACATTATTACAAACATTATTACAAATATTATTACAAACATGTCTCTGTTTTATTTCTTTACAAATAAAATCTGGCCGAAATGATATTGCAATATAGCAAGTGAAATGGCGAATTAAAACAAAAGAGTGTGACTGGAATATGAGAAAACAGCATTCAGAGAATTTTTAAAAAATCAAATGTCAAAAGAAAATAAATCGAATAGAAAGAACACGGTTCGGTCGGGGAAATGAATTTTGCTTCGATAGAACAAGTGTCTGAACTGAATATCGATGAAGCACAAATAAACAAATATTAATGATTGTTTTTCTGTTTAATTTCGAAGATTAAAAAGTTACAAAAATGAGACTTAGAGAAAAAAAAGAAAGAAAGAAACATCATTCGTTTTCTGCTAGGGGGCATTGCAAATGGTCTGTTGACGTTGGCTCATTCTGATGCATTTAGAATAACAGAATGCAATTTTCTGAAATATCGCCGTCTATATATATATATATATATATATATATGTAGAAAATATCTAGAAAATGTAATTACTGTCCAGTAGTTGTCTGATTGTCTCTGTGGGTGTTGAACAAACATAAATGTGCCAGAGCCAGCATCTGCCGCAGGGACTACTAGCCACTGTAACTGACGGGTATATTATAGGTTAACAGCAGACTAATGATTAAAACACGTTTCTTTTGCACAAATATTAGGTAAGACGATAAGCAACATCAGTAAGTCTTCTGATCAGTAGGTTTTGAGGAGCGTGGAACCACCTCTTAATGGCTGGCGTTACCAGGTTCACTCTAGGGGGTGATAACACCTGCTGGGTCCCAGCTATGGGCGAAGAGTTAACCCCCAAACTAGGCTCAAAACACTATGAAAGTGCAAAAATAGGTTTTAATACCAGCAATACATTCTTGAAAAAAATATTACCAGCAATAAAATCTTGTCGGCATTGAGGTTGATAAACCGTAAAATAAAACAAACCAAACGAAACTAACCAAACCAATCCTCGCCATGGCATTTAATTCACTACTAGAATCACAAACATTATACAAAAGAAAAACTTTTAGATCAGAATTCAGTTAATAAATATGTTCTAGGGTTTTACTTGTTGATCGGCTTTGGTAAAAGATTTAAGTCACGAGACATCCGATATATGAATAATCAGAATACTAGTGTACTTGTTCCATCGAAAATGACGGCAATTGTTAGAATTTTTTTTTCTTTCGTGAGATGCAATGAAAAAAAAGTATTGAAACAATTTACTGGGATTCAAATAAAGCAGAGATTGAGAATTTATAATTAAAACAGAAGCCAATGAACCGTTTAAATTGTTCTCTTTATATTTTTAGACGTTCACATGCTATGATTCATTGATTATTCCTGGCATTTATATAAATCACTTTTTACTCAATATCTTTTCATGTAAAAACTATATGTGTTTAATATAAGATTGACTCGAAATGGAAAATCAGAAAAAGTAAAAACAGAATAACCGACATAATGACAAAGACGGTGACGACAAAGACAATCTGAAGACCAAGTTGAAGCAACATAATTGCTCAGTAGACAAGGTTATCTGAATTCCTTGCAAGAAAGACTGAGAAAAATAAGCTTGCAAATTTAAGAAACGTAGTAGTAAGGGAATTGTTCATTTTTCTAGGGAACTAATTTTGTCTAAATAACAATAACTATTACTGGCAATCATAAATTTAATAAAGTTAACCTCCCTTGCCATTATAGAGCGTGACACGAAAGATATAAATAAAAGGATACACAATTGTAATTATAATAGAGTATATTATGGACGATATTTATTTTGTATAAAATACAAAATATGTGGCACAAGGCCAGAGGGAGGATAAGGAAGAATGGTCTTCCTCTGTTTTATAATCAAACTTATTTAACCGCAATCACTGACTCAAACATACCACAATATTCTTTACACCAAAACAACACATTCTTATTTACCAGTCTTACTACAGCCACCATAATACTTCTATGAAGTTCTATCTAGTCCTCATATATACAATCTTTGTCTGAGGGAGGGAAATAAAACAAAAAATCTAACCCCAATATGTATTTACAATGTATCTTAATATATATTTTCAAGAAACTAAACAAAATTGTGTTACTAATATCCTCCACCCCGCCACAAACCTTAATTGAGACAGAAACATCAGTTAACTAGACGAAATTAAT